CTCTCTCTCTCTCTCTCTCTCTCTCTCTCTCTCTCTCTCTCTCTCTTATCCACCCAAACGAGAGCAAATTTTAATGGCGCTGGGACAATACATTTTCAAGATACCCAAAGCTTGAAACGTTTTTTTTCTTCGTCTGATTTGCTTGTCTGAAGTATATGGTTGCAACACTCAACGAGTTTCTACAAAACTTTGCAACACTCAACGAGTTTTCTTCAAAATTTTTCTTTCAGCATTCAACGAGTTTTTTCCCAAACTTTGCAACATTCAACGAGTTTTCTTCAAAACTATGCAGCACTCAACAAGTTTCTTCAACATATGAAGGGCTGACATTTTAATAAAGAAAATGTTGCTATCGTCGTCGTCGTCGTCGTCGTCGTCGTTGTTGTTGTTGTTGTTGTCGTTGTTGTTGTTCATGTTGTTGTAGTAGTATAATTCTGAAGCCCCTTTCAACCCAGCAATGTTATGTCAAAGGTGTACTTCCGATAGGATCAAGTCAAATAGTTGGAGTGTCTTAAAAATGCTCAAAACAGCCCAAATTCAGAACAGCTTCCCCCCCCCCCTCGGGGATTTGAACAAAAAGCCTACCTCTCCGTAGTCCAGCATGGTACCTTCCGAGCTGAAGGAGCGCCCAGAATATATTGGTTATTGTAAAAACGACCGATTGTTTATAAGGTTATGAACTATGTAATGTAACATGTCGCTGTATCAGAATTACAAAGTCCTATTTGCTCACTATCTACTTTTGGAAGATTGGACGTCTAAAATGTTGAGTTACACGACTTGTCAAGCGTTTGCGAACACAGTTACTTGAATATACTGGTAGCAAATCTGAATAATTTTACGATTTCGATAGATCAGATAGAACATTTTGTTTCCGACCTCATGGTCTCGTAGTAACTCAAAACGACGAAAAATGTCAGATAGAACTTTGTAATTCTAAGGTAGCGATTAGTCTAGTTATGAACTGACACGCTTGATATCCACATGAGGTCCTTACTTAGGGACCCCATACCAACTTGCTCTTAACTTTTAGCCTCATTTTCCTTCTGCTTTTCCCCTTATACTTGGGTGGGTTTTTTTGTCAAGTAAAAAATGTTGCGCAATGTTGTGATGTTACGAGGACAAGCCTCTGGTTTCCCATGACCCCAGCCCCCCCC